AGGAAGGGAGATCAGGGATGACCCTGATCTCTGGGGGCAGTTCATTCCAGAGGGTGGGAGCTCCCACAGAGAAGGCCCTCCCCCTTGGGGTCGCCAGCCGGCACTGTCTGGCCGACGGCACCCTGAAGAGACCCACTCTGTGGGAGCGTACAGGTCGATGGGAGGTAATCTGCGGCAGGAGGCGGTCTCGAAGGTATCCAGGTCCGATGCCATGGAGCGCTTTAAAGATGATAGTCAACACCTTGAAGCGCACCCGGAAGGCCACAGGCAGCCAATGCAGCTCGCGCAGCAGCGGTGTCACGTGGGAACGTCGAGTCCCCCCCAACACCGCCCGCACGGCCGCATTTTGGACCAGCTGGAGCCTCCGGGTGCTCCTCAAGGGGAGCCCCATGTAGAGAGCATTACAGTAGTCCAGGCGGGAGGTGACAAGGGCGTGAGTGACCGTGCGTAGGGCGTCCCGGTCCAGAAAAGGCCGGGACGCCCTTTAACTTGGAACGGTCAATAAACGGACCGTCATAAGTCGTCATAATTTATGCGGCTCAGTGAGAAATTCGTCAGGTTTGAGTTTGGTCCGGTTTTGCGACTTCTCCCGCCACGGTTGTTAAGTCAAGCAGCGGTTCAGTTAGCGACACCATTGTTAAGCGAATCCTGGGACTCTGCGACCGTCGTAAATGTGGACCCGTTGGACAAGCCTCCAAATTTTGGTCATGTGACCGCGGGAGATGGTGCAACGGGGTGCTAAATCCCTTTTTTCAGAGGGTCACAAATGGGGGGGGAGGATCGCGTGAACTTCCTGGGACCCTGCGACCGTCGTAAATACAGACCCGTTGGACAAGCCTCCGAATTTTGGTCACGCGGGAGATGGTGCAACGGGGTCCTAAATCCCCTTTTTCAGTGCCGCTGTAACTTTGGACAGTCAGTAAACGGACTGTCGTAAGTTGAGGACTTACCTGTACTGCAAGGATTGTAAGTGGGAGGACCGGGCTCAAATCGCTTTTTTCCCCAGTGCCGTCGTACCGTCAAATGAATGGTCATGACGCGAGGACTGCCTGTACGGCGCCCAGGAGCATCCTCCTGGCAGTGGTCGGTGTGTGTGCGTGTGTGTGCCTGTGTGTCGGGGCTGACTTTCCCTTCCTTTATTTAGGTACAGCCTGATGCAGTCCATCAAGCACGGCCAGGTCCAGCGGGAAAGCCTCGTCCGATCCGGGAAGAAGATTGCCTACCAGGGGCGGGTGAAGGACGAGCCGGCCTACTACTGCAACGAATGCGACGTAAGAGTCCGCCTGGTGGGCCCGAGGGCGTCTCGGCCGCCACCGCGGTGGTGGTGGTGGTGGCTGCAGATTTAATGCGCTGCGGCTCTCTCTCTCTTTTCCTCTCTTTCTCTCCCTCTCTCTCTCTCTTTCTCTCTCCCTCTTTCTTTCTTTTTCCCTCTCTCCCTCTCTCCCTCTCTTTTTCTCTTTCTCCGTCTTTCTCTCCCACTCTCTTTCTCTCCCTCTCTCTCTTTTCCCTCTTTCTCCCTCCCTCTCTCTCTCTCTCTCTCTTCCTCTCTCTGTCTGTCTGTCTTTGTTTCTCTCCCTCTCCCTCTCTCTGTCTGTCTCTCTGTCTCTGTTCTCCACTGCTTCTTTTTCGCACCGACACTGGACCATGGGAGGGGGGTCCTTACTTGGTGCCCCTTCTGGATCCAGACCGAACCACAGTTTGGGGCCAAGAGGGAGCCTTGGTCTCCATCTCCCTTGGTCTTCCTGGATACCCGCCTTAGAGACCCTCTTTCCAGCAGATCCTTCGACACTTGGTCAGTTGGGTGTGGGGACACATCCTCCTGGACCATCTCGGTGTGGCCTCTGAGACCGATCCATAGGTCCATTGTCGTCATCGCGACGACCGTCACCTCCTTTTCCCCAAGGGCCCCGGCGAAGCTTTCCGACCACACCAGGGGGTGCGTTAGCTTTGTGTGTCTTTAAATTACCTGTATGCCTCCTGTCCCATCTCCAGTAAGGGATTCTTAATCCCCCCACCCTCGTTGCCCAACAGTGTTGGAGACGTGAAACCGAAGTGAGGTGAAGAGGTCAAAAACAGTGAGTATGATGCGCGTGGTTCTGTGAGAGGAGAAGAAGAGGAGGAAGAAGAGGAAGGACGAAGGTGGAACCGAGAAGAAAAAGAAGTTGGTCAAGAATCGGTCCGTTACGGAGTTTGAAGAACGACCGAGGAGAAGAGAAGCTTCATCGGCGGGGACGAAGGGTCAGAAAGTCTTCGATGTGGTTGCAGAAGCCACCTCGACACAACTAAATGAGTTCAGAGGAAGCTGGCCTGGACGTTTCTTGAAGAGCCTTGAAAAATCAGAGAGAAATCAAGCTTAGCAAGAATTGAGGAAGCTCCATGGATGAATGGAAGGCTTGTCTTGACCAAGACTAAGAATTGAGGAAGCTCCATGGATGAATGGAAGGCTTGTCTTGACCAAGACTAAGAATTGTGGAAGCTCCATGGATGAATGGAATCCTTGACTTGACCAAGACTAAGAATTGTGGAAGCTCCATGGATGAATGGAATCCTTGACTTGACCAAGACTAAGAATTGAGGAAGCTCCATGGATGAATCGAAGCCTTGACCAAGATTAAGAATTGAGGAAGCTCCAAGGATGAATGGAAGCCTTGACTTAACCAGGGAACCATATCTCAGGAATGACTCAGCCAACGATATGCTGGCTTGCTAGTCAGACAGGACTGGGCTGCTGACCCAGAGCACGGTCCACTTAACGGTCCACAAAATCCAAGTTGTAGGACATTTGGGATTCCAAACTTCACCGAACAACAAGAGCTGGAAGGGACCCCGGAGGCCTTCCAGTCCAGCCCCATGCTCAAGCAGGAGACCCTTACAGAATAACAGAGCTGAAAGGGACCTCAGAGGTCTTCTAGTCCACTCCCATGCTCAGGCAGGAGACCCTAGACCATTCCAGACCAATGGCTGTCCAGTCTCTTCTTAAAAACCTCCAGTGATGGAGTACCCACAACTTCTGGAGGCAAGCCCTTTGCATCCAGGCAAGATATTAATATAGTTTGCCAAGTTGGTTCAACACCCCCAGAATGGTCTTTTCTGCCCCCAAAAGAAGCCAAATTGAAATTACGCGGCACCGTTAACCCAGGAGGGACCCTGCCAGGGGCGCAGAAGAGGTTTTCCCTAGAAGAACTCAAAAAATATGGGAGGTCCTCTCTGGTCTCTTCCCCAAATGATAAACTTTATCAGGTAGCTGGGATAACCAGCCCCCTTGCGGGTTGATCCGTTGTCTCTTGGAAAGAAAAATCAAAGGATCTCCTTTGTTACGTGGGCATACGTGGGTTCTGCACGGGAACAGGCTCCGTGGCTGGAATTCCTGGGGACCCCCTCCCCATCTCTTTCTTTCTCAATCCTGCTAAAGAGAAAATTATTCTTTGGGGGAAAAACCCCAGAAATCTCCCATTTTTGGCATCTGCTGAAGCATGGCTGGCTCGGGAATTCTGGGAGTCGAAGTCCACAGTTGAAGTCCATCTTTCCCCACCTCTCTGCTAAAGCCTCCGGTGCTTTCTGTCCATTTCTGGATTCAGCGGTGCTGCCTGGGATGGTTTGTGGAGAACGAATTGGGCAAGATCCGGAACGAAGAGAGACAAACACACACACACACACACACCGTATCGCATCTGTAGAACATCTCTAGAGCGTTCCTTTTAAGGAAGGATCGTTCAGAAGAACGGATAAATTTGACTGGCCATAAGAAGAGGAGGAGGAGGAGGAGGAGGAGGAAGAGGAAGAGGAAGAAGAAGAAGAAGAAGAAGAAGAAGAAGAAGAAGAAGAAGAAGAAGAAGAAGAAGAAGAAGAAGAAGAAGAAGAAGAAGAAAAGAAGAAGAAGAAGAAGGGGAAAGAAAGAAAGAAAAAGAAAGAAGGAAGGAAAGAAGAAACGAAAAAAAGAAAGGAAAGAGAAAGAAAGAAAGAAAGAAAGAGAAAGAAAGAAAGAAAGAAAGAAAGAAAGAAAGAAAGAAAGAAAGAAAGAATAGAGCTGGAAGGGACCTTGGAGGTCTTCTAGTCCAGCCCCCTGCTCAAGCAGGAGAACCTATACCGTCTCTAGCCAAACATCTCATCCATAACCTTGTTCATATTTGGCCCAGTGGCGATCTGGATAGGCAAAACATAAGTTGAGGTGATGGAAGCATCCCTTGGGATGTTCTCATGGATGTTTGTGGGTCTTCAGGAAGTGGACAACTTTTGCTGTGACTTTCCGCTACTGGTGTGTTGGACCCCTTGTCCAATCTGGCTAGGGAAGAGGACCAAGAGGTTCTGACTTATCAAGAAGTTCTGGTCTGCTTATCTTCTCAAGGATGAGAAGGTCCAGGTCTCCGTCTAGTGGATAGGAACCATCTGTGGCCCATCTCTGACCTCCTCTCCTTGGAAGAAGGTCGAAAGAAGAAGGGGTGGAGCTACAGTCAATCAAGGTTTGTCGTATTCGCCTGAATTCAGACTCAGCCCTAGGAGACAAAATTGTCTGTGGACTTCATGGGTCATCTAAGAGGAGACCTGGATGGAGAGACTGGGCCATAACTGTTCTCTTACATCAACAGGGGTCTTCCAACTTGACCCTTTGATGACTTGTGGACTTCAACTCCCAGAATTCCTCAGCCAGCGTGCCTGGCTGAGGAATTCTGGGAGTTGAAGTCCACAAGCAGGGGTCTTCCAACTTGGCCCTTTGATGACTTGTGGACTTCAACTCCCAGAATTCCTCAGCCAGCATGAGGGAACTAGGACCCTTTGATGACTTGTGGACTTCAACTCCCAAAATTACTCAGCCAGCATGGCTGGCTGAGGAATTCTGGGAGTTGAAGTCCACAAGCAGGGCTCTTCCAACTTGGCCCTTTGATGACTTGTGGACTTCAACTCCCAATATTCCTCAGCCAGGCACGCTGGCTGAGGAATTCTGGGAGTTGAAGTCCACAAGTCATCAAAGGGCCAAGTTGGAAGATCCCTGTCTTACATCCCCTCTTAGTGTTGACGCCAGTATCCCCCAGCGAGACGGCGAACTGGACACCCTATTTGGCTTCCCCTCCTAGCTAAGAAGATTGGAAGGACAACATCGCCCACGGGGTGACCTCTACGGAGGGCTCACCTCTTGGTGCCCTTCCCCTGTTCCGTTCGACATGTACCCGGGAGAGATTATTGATCGAAAATAAAGATATTTTTTAAAAAGAAAGTACGACCCTATCGTTGTATTTTGTACTGTATTTTGCAAGCCACCCAGTCGGTCAGTTAAACGGTGAAGCAGGGGGCCTCGGTTCTGCCTCCGGTCCAAATGCAGTCAGTCAGCAACTCCCTTTGGACTACAGCACCCATTGTCCTCAGCCAAGCCAGCTGAGAAAAGCAGACGGGTAGAGAAGCCCGGAGCTATTTTGATATCGCACCTGGGGCCTTCATGGTGATGGGCAAGGGTCTCGGGCACCATTTCCTGGTTGCAGTTTTCAAAGAGCGTGCTAAAATTTAAAAATTTAAAATTTAGGGCAGGGTTAAAATTTGAGGGTTTGAACAAGGCCTCAACGGGGCAGGCAGGGAGGATGGACCTCCGGAGGGAGGGACGGCGGAGAAGCTGCTTTGTTGGCTTGCGTTGAGAAAGTAGGGAGCGATACGGAGCCAGCCACTGCTGGGGTGGCTAAGAGCACGACAGAGTCGGAAGGGACCTGGGAAGGTCTTCTAGTCCAGCCCCCCCGCTCCAGCAGGAGACCTTGTTCCATTTCAGACAAAATGGCTGTCCAGTCTCCTCTCAAAAGCCTCCAGGGATGGAGCACCCGCAGTTTCTGGAGGGAGGCAGCTCCACTGATTAATTAATGGAATAACACAGTGGGAAGGGACCTCGGAGGTCTTCTAGTCCAGCCCCCTGCCCAAGCAGGAGACCCAATTCCATTTCAGACAAAATGGCTGTCCGGTCTCTCCTTAAAAGCTTCTTGGGTGACGGTTCAGTTGCTCACTGCAGGGTGTGGAGCTGGGCTAGCAGCCTCCCAGACCGATCCCTGGATTCCACTCAGATTCCTTGGGGTGATTCCTGGTGGGCAGGCATGGAAGGGGGGATCCCGCCTGGTAGGAGGGGAACTGACCCTCCTCTCTCTCCCTCTCTTCCCCCCCCCCGGCAGGTGGAGGTGTTCAACATCCTCTTTGTGACGAGCGAGAACGGCAGCAAGAACAGCTACCTGGTGCACTGCGAGGCCTGTGCCCGGAAGCGGAATTCCTCTCTGCACGGAGTCGTGGTGCTGGAGCAGTACAAGACGGAAGAATTGATCAGCATCTACGACAGCTTCACCCTGGTGAGGGTCTGAAAGTGTGGGGGGGGGAGCACGGGGGGGAGGTTCCTTTTGCCCGGATCATCTCCTGCGGATCATTAATAATAGTAGTAATATTAATAATAATAATAGTAATAATAATAATAATAA